TAGTCAATAAATAGAAAAGACATTTTTTTCAGGACAGTAACTCATTACTTAAAACTTACTACTTAATATCAAACCATGTTGTTTTTCTTTCTACTTAAATTTAACAAAAGTTATGAAAAGTAACTGAAAAAATAAGATCTATTACACTGGAACTGTGAACTGTCAGTTTACCTCACTGTTGGAAAGCTGATACCACGGTTGTTTGCCGTAGGTAAAGATTTCCCATAGAACAACCCCGAAGCTCCAGATGTCGCTTTCTGTTGTGAACTTCCTGTACATGATGCTCTCTGGGGGCATCCAGCGGATCGGCAGCATCGTGCGTCCGCCGACCTGAGGATGAGAATCCAGGACAGGGTTGAAGGTATTATTTAAGGGATACACATTAAAAAACCTGTCGAATTTTGAACATTATTGGAAGCTGGACTTCCAGACACTCACCCGGTAGTAATCTGTGCTGTAGATGTCTCGAGACATTCCAAAGTCTCCGATCTTCACCACCAGACCCTCTCCCACCAGACAGTTGCGAGTGGCCAGGTCACGATGGACGAAGTGCAGCGAGGCCAGGTAGACCATGCCAGAAGCGATCTGGGCGGCGATGTGCAGCATCTGGGGTAGAGTCAGCTGCCCCATCGGGGGCATCTTGGACTCTTCCAGCATTCGAGCATCAGGTCCGTGAGCTCTGTGGAGGAAACAGATTTTTACAACTATGAAGGAGAAATTAAACCTTAGAACAAGCAGGGACGTAGCTAAAAGGGGGCCTGAGGTGACCATGGCCACCATACCCAGTAGCGGCTCCCTGTAGCTCAGACAATAGACTCTATAATCCTTCTCTTAGTCTACACTGCAAAAACGATCTAGAAATAAATAAAAATTTCTTAAATTAAGTGTATTCACCCTTAATTTGAGTCATTGTATTCTCATTATTAGTTCGTATGAAATTGTACGAAAAGTTATGCACAATAATTTCGTACGTTTTAGACGTTTTTTTCGTCGCATTTCGTCATATTTTTACGTCTTGCCTCGAGACAAGATATCCTTGCGCATGCGCATCTTACGCACCATTAAATAACATAGAATTTCACATACAATTAAACCTAAACATGACCCTAAACCTAACCCTAAGATACAAAACAGCAAGCAACCTAGTTAGAGACCTGAAGAAGTGATTATTGCACTGTTTTTCCCAGTTTTACGTCCGTACGCGAATCTGCTTTTTTCGTCTGTCTGGCTGCGCATGCGCACTGATCTGTATTTTCGAGGAAAAACGTCCAAAACGTACGAAATACTGTGCA